ACCTATAAATATTAGTTTTATCTTTGTTGAGATTGAATGAATTACATTTTGGGGTAAATCTAAAAACTGATTTGTAAAAAGAAGCAATGATGGTGTAATTATTGTGGAGAGAAAATGAATGAAATCCCCCATGTTACCCCCCCTCCCCATACATACACACACTAACTCACTTCCACACACACTCATGCCTCATTCACACACACACACATCCTCTGCTGCCCCTCTCCTACCCTGTTCCTCCTCTACCAACTGCAGCCTCCTCATTCAGGCCTGCATGTCCGACCTATCCCGGGCTGCCCCCCATCTGGTAATTGCCCCCGTGACAACTGGAAATGATAGAATAATTGTCAAAAATAAGTCTTTTTTTTTTCTTTTAATAGGGCAAGGGTGATTAAAGTATGCATGAATGGCACAGTGAGGTGGCGAGAGGAGGAGGAAAGAGAGGGAGCAGGAGGGAAACTGGGGCGGGGGCAGGGGCTGGGATGGCAGGTGGCAAGGAGGTGGTGTTGGTGGTTCACAAAAAAAAAAGAAAAAAAGGTGGGGGGGAGGCTTGTTTATGATGCTATCTCCCCCCCCCCCCCCCCCCCCCCCCCACACACACACACACCACCACACAAACAGGGCTGAAGTGATGACACAAATAGTGTTGCCTCTTCACACGGTGACACCAGTCGAGTTGCGGGCGTCGCTGCAAGACTCCCTCGCTGTTGGCAGAGGAGAGTCCTCTGTTGTCTGGTCAGGATCTCTGCCACTCCTCAACTTCAGGTAAAATAAATAAATAAATAAACAAAAAAAAATAGTCCATCCATCCATTCATCCCTGCACCCATCAGTGTTCTGTCATCCATAGTGGACTCCAGGCTCTTGTGTTGAACGCTTGTGTTTTACTGCCGGGGCTGCGTCTGCTGTCTCCACCGCTGCTCGTCCCACTGTGTAACTGTTCCGCCTTGGTCTGTGGGCTCTGTTAATCTGCTGCTTAATTAGTCTTGATGAATTGCTCCACGTGTGTGTGTGTGTGTGTGTGTGTATGTGTGTGTGTGTGTGTGTGTGTGTGTGAGGCAGAACCTGCGCGCATGCACACGCACGTCCAAGCAAGTGTGTGCAAGTGATCGTGTGACTGAGTGAAACTCTTCTTCTACTGGATCAGATGTTACTACCCGCTTGCTAAGCTAATCGCCGATCAATAAAATCAAGAGGATGGAAAGGGCGCGTTGGTTTTAACGGTTAAATATTAATCTAATGCAGATGTGTGTGTGGGTTTTTTTGGAGGGGGAGACGGCAAAGTTTGACTTGTTTGTTTTTCTTTGTGTGAGAGGGAAAAAACAGTCTTAGGAGCAGATGTTTAGTTTGAAAAGGCGAGGAGGTCACGGGACTCATAATTGGTGAAGCACTAATTATCTTTATCAAAGGCGAGTGGGATCATTTGTTTACTTAAATATTGATGAGGGTGCGCTAGGCATGGTATTGGGCTATTGTGGGCATATTATTAACATTTCATAGGGCTTTGTGCAGGAATGCGAAAGAGACTCCTCTTCATAATTTAATACCCTAATGCATAATGAGCTATGTGATTAGCTCACACGGAGAATTGGCCAAACTCCATTTTGAAGGCAGATAATTTACATTGTTCTCCAGAGTCTGGCATTATAATAGGTTCTTTAGCACAATAAAATTAAATGCTACACATTTTGTATTTTAGCTCACAAATCCCCCTGGCAGTGTTCATTCAGATTTTTTTTATGCTTATGCTTCGTTTAGTTTAGAATAAAATAAAAAAAGAGTTCAATGATCAGAATGTTTTTTTTTTTTTACAATTGTGTAACAAAAACACATGTTTACCTACATGTTTTATTTAGAATGCTGTCTGGCCAATTAACACTGTTCATTAGCCGAGCGGCGTTATTTGTTTTGAAAGTTTAACCAATCACTTTGTTATGCTAATTGTGATGTAATTTAATTTGAGTTCCCCGTAATGATGATGCCGCTATTATCCACATAAATGATGCAGTTAAGCAGCACGGCCTCATTTGCATGTGCTTGAAGGGAGAGAGGCTGAAAGGAGCCGGCTCCCGTATCACTCTGCTTTAATTTTCCACCTCTGTTCACTCCTGCCCTGTGGGTCTTCCTGGTCTGTCGCTGACTATTGATGATCAGCACTTTTATCTGAATATTTTTTTCATTCAAAGTGGATTTTATTTGCCTGCTATCCGATTCCTAGAACTATAATTAAGAGGAACTTAATAATTGAAACATAAACTGATATAAAAAAAATGCAAATCATCGTTTTGTTTAGGTTTGTTTAACCCAAAACACTCAAAACTGTTCGCAGATTATTTCTTCTTTTAGTTTTATTTTTTTGAGGACATTTGAGGTCTGAAACTGTATTTTTTAACCATATTTAAATGCTTACTCAAGGTTTTGTTATTTTATCAATAAAATATTTTAAAGTCTCTAACCTTGTACGTTAAAGTTTGACCGAGCCGAGGTTAAAGATCGCTCATTATCTGTTTTTTTTTTTTCGTCGTGGCTTTTGTAATTTTCCTGAAGCAAAGATATATATATTTTTCCACCTCCTGAGCAGACGCCATCCTGCTTTTATGCTTCTAATTGCTTACATAAATCTTGTCTGGTATGAATGAGAAATGTTGCGGTGTTGTCAACTGCAATCTTCACCCTTATTTACCAATTCATTAAGATCTATCGATGCAGGACTGCTGAGAGGGAATGACAACATAAATCAGAGCTGGAGACATAATGGTCCTAATCAAGCAGAAATAACTGGAAACGTCACGATGAGCTATGTCTGTGGAGCTGCGTCCAATCGGCGGCTGACTTCCCTGCTCCTGTCCGCTGGATGTGCCCCGCTCAGGAAAAGCACCAGACGATCCAACTAGCTCCTCTGATTTTTCTCTGCTCTAATCGACCTCACCGATGTAAAGACTTTGTCCATTCACTTCTCCTTTCTTTTCTTTAGTTCGCTGAGTCTCGTTTCATGTCTCAGTCCTCTCTCTCTCTCTCTCTCTCTCTCTCTCTCTCTCTCTCTCTCTCTCTCTCTCAGAATCGAACATCTTTTCTGAGTGCAACACTTCCACGCATGAGGTCTATAAATACAGTTAGGTTGGAAGTGCCCCGCGTTCGCCGCGCACCTCCTCTACTCCTGATAAAGATGATTGGATGAGACAATGAGGCCTCTCCTCTTTTATAGGTCAATTAGCCCTGATTAGGTGGGCCGAGTTAATTAACGCAATTGGCAAATATGCAAATGGGAGCCGACTGGTCGGCTGTCGTCACCGCCTCGCTCGACCGTGGCGGCAGCGGCGCCTCCTGCCTCAGCAGAACGTGGCGTCTGACGGCGAACATGTAAATGATCTGGGACGAGCCAAAATGCAGGAGAAAACTACTTTCTCTCCTCCTCTCTTTTTTTTTTTCCTACTTTCTCTCGTATCCGTGAGGGCTGTGCTTCTCAGTATTTGTTGAGAAACAGAAATTGAATTCCATTTAACAGCTGTGTTTTCTTTATTTTAATTGAATATTTCATGTTTGCCCCTTTTTTATATGGTATTCCAGAGCTGCTGCGTTTTATTTAATGTTAATTTACAGCAACACTGTATCATGCACACTATCCATAAGTGCCTCTTATATTTGATTGTGCAGAGTGTACAGTTCTTTACACACATTCCTTTGCTTTTTTTCTTTGTCGTTTCCCTTTCTGTTCTCCTCGAACACTGACTCCGTCACATCCTCGCACACCCATTCAGGGACACTCGCACACCGTGGCAAATAGTCCGTCTTTTTTTTATCTTATTCTGTCTCATCTCCTTATTGTAAATAGAAAAGAATTAAGTTCTGAACATTCTTGACTGAATGTCTCCTATCACAGAGTTACAATTTATTGTCGGCTCAAATGAAGAATTGAAATCCGACTGAGGTTCTCTCAGTGTAGGGCTCATTGGACAGGAGATAACCACATTTGATTCTGTTGCTTTGAATAATGTTAATCCGGCATAAAAAAAAAAAGAAGCAAAGTCCATTATTCATATTCATCTCTTTTCATTTGGCCCCACTCTTGATTTTGTAAATATGATTTCTTCAGCCCCCTCTCTCTTTTTTTTCCTTCCAAAGCAGTCTTTATTCACCGGTGAAGCACTTTTGAAATTCCTCTATGTATGAGCAGAAACCATTACCATACACAGGTTTAGAAGAAGTAGTCATTAATGCTCTTTTATGGTAGTCCTTTWGCGCCAAAAGGAAGCTTTTAATTCTAAGGCTCGACAGCCTGACTTACCTTATTTAATCTGGTGGACTGGCCTTTTATTTTTTTATTTGCATGTTTCTTTCCAAAATGGTAGTTTTTCCCCAATTCTTACTCCAAAATTCTTAATGTAAAGCTGGAATGAATTACTTCTAATGTCAAATCCAAACAAATAATCCTAATTAAGGAGGTATTTAAGTCTCATTGCTTCTACTAAAGGTTTTTACACTTTTTATTAAGTTTTTCAAATCTTTTGCTTTGAATTCTTTCCTTTATTTTGATAAATTTAATACACACTACTGTCAGCTCACAYGTGGCATTTTGATTTATTGAGCAATTTTAAGTATTAAATCTGTCCTTGCACAGTTACTTCTTTATTTTGTATGCGCAGTAACTTATGGCAATGATGAATTAATTTCACTCAAGCACAGAATCTGTGATTATTTTAAATAGTAACCATATCTGGACCTGATCAGAGAGCTGTGAGGACTCATCGGACTGTGAAATGTAATTTCTGTTATTATTATTTATTTTTTTTTATTATTAGTTTGATCTCAGGAACATTAAAAAAATCCAGCCACGTGAAATGTGAGCTGATAATACCGCTAACTTTTATTTTTCTTTCTTTCTTTTTCTTTTGTATCATCGTGATGAAAATATATATATATTTGCAACTCATGCATATAGAATGAGGAAATGGATCAGTGTTTCAGGCAGACGCGGTGGAGAAGCCTCTCACTCTGAAAATGGATGACGCAGAGATGAAGCCGGTGTCAGGGCAGCAGTGTGTTAACAGTGTATCGCGTGTTAAATTCCTCGGTGGACCCGAGGCAGACAGCTGTGCATTCCCTCTAGATGGATGGCCAGTGTCATAGTGTGTGTTTACTGCACATGATAGAGCGGGAGACAGGCCAGGTAATGAGGCTACATTAAGGGCTTTTAGAGCTCGCAAACAAAGATGGAGGGCTGCTTCTTTCCCCTTTAATGATAGGTGTGTGTAAGTGTGTGTGTTGGAGAAAAGACTCGTTTTTTTTTACCCCCCTTGCGCCTTTGTTTTGCCACTTCTCGGAAAGAAAGAGGAGGAATTCTCCCAGCGTCGAGGCCAAACACCTCACTGGGACCCTTCCTTCTGATTCTTGATGAAACCGGTGGATTTGCAAGATTTAAGAGTAAATATTTGCTCGAGCTGAGCAGGAATAGCAAGTGGCTGAATGGTCACACGAGCAACCAGACAAAAGCTGCTTTTGCTTTAAAGCTTTGCAAATAAAGTCTTTGCTTCATGTGGAAATTCTCTTTTTTTATTAAACTTAGAAGAAATAGCCACTGTTAACCATGTCCTAAACGCTGAGTATCACTATCATCTTCCCTCGCTGAGCGGGTACATCCACAGCGTTAGCAGCGTATTACCAGGTAATCACAGGCTTCCTCTCTGCTTCCGATCGTGATAATAAGTGGTCTAGGTTCACCCTCATTGGAAGATTATGGCTTGAAGAAACGGCGAGTGTGCTGAAAACGCASGACCACGTGTGGGCGAGCTGACAGCGCCACACAGCTCTGACCAGAGGCCCAACCGTCGGCGACTCTTTCCGACCCACTTGGTTCAGCGCAGGCTGAGCCAGGGTCAGGGCTGCTACCCCCCCATGCCTCGGGGCGAGGGCGCACGGGCGGATCCGTGGCAAACACTGGCTTCACACAGTCACACCCTCAGGTGCTGAGTATTGTCACCCCCCGTCTCTCTGGAGTATTGCGTGAGCGCACGTCTCCCTGGCTGTGACAGTTCCATCACCCCCCACAGCCGGAGCCGCAGCGCGGTCGCCCGCTCATCACCGCAGCCTGGCTGTGTTTCTAATTGACATTCTAATTGGCAGATTTGAATGCCGCCTTTAGACGGCTAATTAATTTATCTCACCGCTGTCATTAAGGTTAAAGCACCATCTGATCTCTGCGAATATGCTTTGCATATATCTGCATTATCAGGGTGTTGCAGTCACACTGCGCAGATTTTTATTTTGGAGGAGATTAGAGCGTTGAGATTAACTGGACAGTGGGTTTTCATTAATTCATTCGAATCATTATCTCTGATTGCATGATTTTTTTTTTTACAAATTCTTTACCTTTTCTTTGCACGACGTTACTTTATGAATAACTAATCAAATGTAGGTGGATAAAATATTAGCTTGATAATAATATAAAAGCAATTTTCCCCTGGGTTTTGATGGTGGTTTGCATTCGATTCAGCTGTTATTAAAAATGGTTATTTCTTCGTCTCGTATATCTTCCAAGTTTTCCGAACATCCCTCTTCGGTTTAAGAAAGAGCGCAAAAAAAAAGAGAGCTCCATTAGAATGTTCATAAAATCGTAGTAAAGGCAATCAGACAGTCTTTCTCTGAATATTTTAAACATTGGGCATGTAAAATTTATGCCTAATTTGAATACTTATTAGCCGGCTGATCTCGGCTGCAGCCTTGAGTTTCTTACGCTGAGATTCATCACCGGATTGGATGTCACATTGTGCCAGTCTCCCCTCCCGTCCCTCCCCACCCTGCCACCTTCTTCCCTCCCACTCCCTCCTTCACTCCTTTATTTTCTTTCCCACTGCCCCCCCACCCGCCCTCTGTTTCCTTTCTCCTGTCTTTCTGTCCCCCTGTCTTTTCTCACCGTGTCTCCCTCCATCAGCGGCGAGCGTCTCGCTGTTAAACAGGGGCCTGTTTGTTCACAAGCTCGCCTCGTCCTGGCCTCTTCCCTATTTACTTGTGTCCCGGGCAGCTGTCGCCCCTGCTCTGTGTAATAGCTCAGCCCTGTTTGTTCTCCCTCCTCAGATCCTGTTTATCCTGGCTGTGGACATCCTTTAAGGCCTGTCCCCCCGTATCTGCCCCTCGTCAAACACACACCGGCGCACACAAACACTGCCACGGACGTGTACACACTTCTATTAAAACTGTATTTGCAGGGCCAAAGGATACACACGGTACCCTTGTTGGCTGGGCACAAACACATACAATCATCATTCACCCCCCCAATGTTGTTCTGAGTACTGGTTTGCTCTTGCAGATTGGAAAACGGGCTGTTTTAAAAAAAAAAAAAAGGTGAAAAAGGCACAAAAAAAAAAGGCTGTGGAAATCCGATTTGAAACATTTGCATATTTTACATTGTAGGAAAGAAAATACTTCATAAGTTCTTTGTGTTGAATTTATTATTTATCTTTATTATTTATTTTTTCAAATATGAAAAACATTTTTCCAAATAGGGAGACTGTTGAATCCATAATTGTGGATTTCTGCCAGAGCTGCAGTCTATTGAGCGTTTTTTTTTTTTTTTCTGTATTTATTGTGAGAATGTCGACTGCTGCTGGAGGAGCTCCTCTCTGCCCCGGCGTAGGTACAGAGCGTTAAATGTTGGGGATAATGATAAAACATTTATTACTGGAAAGACAGGAGGCTTTATGCATAATTTATGCTGTTTTAGCACAATCATTAGTAATATTCGAGATATATTTTCCCCCATTCTTTTCGTCTTTTTTGTCCTTTTGCATTGAGTAAAAGAAATTTAAACATTTAACTTATTTCTTAAATGTATTTACTCTAAAAATCCCTGCCTGAAACTTTGATTACAAATAAAATGTTAGTTTAATGGCATCTAAATCCAAAAAAATTGTCACAAACCACTATCATCTATTAAGACTTGATTTAAGAAAAAAATAGATTAAAAAATCTAATAAATGAAATATAAGCGTTTTTTTTCCCACTATGGAAGCCTGCGAGGCAGAGAGCAAGAATGACAAACCTATTATGGTGTTCATCACCAGCCCTGCACCATGTGATGTGGTGCCTCCTCCTCCCCAACACCAAATTTTTAATTTTGCATGATTAGTTTTGCGTCATTAGGCAACTTCCAGAGGCAGACAGCTTCAAGATGGACAATATTTTAGGAGGGCTTCTCTTTTTTTTTTCCTGTTAGAGAAATACAGATGTAATGAACTGAGCCACATATTTATTCAAATATATTACTTATTAAGATTTTAGTAATAGCTTAAAAAGCAAATCCTTGTGATTTATTTATTCGCATATTTGCCATATGTAGCAACCCATCTTCTTTTCTTTTTTTTTGGGGGGGGCACGCATCTCTTTGTATTGCTTCATTTACACAATGAATGCATAATTGCTCCTCCTGCATCCCCCCTTTTCCCCTTCCCCCCTCCCTCTTCTTTAAATGCTTTAATTTGCAAATGGGGACCAAGGGCTTGATAATGGAAGCRTGCAAAGAGAGGAAGGTGGGGGGAAAAAAGAAGAAAAACAGGAGGGAAAACGGGGGGAATTGTAACAAGAAGAGCCCTAACCGGTGCCTCTTAATCACTTCTAGGTTTTAAATCATGATGATGCAGGAGTCGGCCACAGAGACAATAAGCAACAGTTCAATGAGTCAAAATGGAATGAGCACCCTAAGCAGCAGCCAATTAGAGGCTGGCAGTAGAGATGGGAGATCAAGCGCTGGTGACACAAGCAGCGAAGTAAGCACAGTCGAGCTGCTGCATCTGCAACAACAGCAGGTAAGTTGTGTTTCTCCCCCGTCTCGTCTCTCTGCCGCTCTGCCTCACTCTCACTCTGTCGTGCTCCCCCTCTCCGCTCTGCTGTGCTCTCTGCTCAGGCGCTGCCGGGGTGTTCTACATAGGCAGGAAGCAAAATGAATCATTATGTTGTTGTGTTTGTGTGTGTGTGTGTTGTTTTTAGAATGTGGAAAGCAGCAGTGTTTATATAATAGGCTGTTGGTAAACTTTCCCCCGTCAGTTTGTTCTGCTGTTGGCATGCTGTGCTTGTAGCTGTTAACCTGCAGATGATGGGATCTGCTGCAAACTGCTTGTTTGTGTTGTTTATCACTTGCTACACACGTAGAAGTTTTATTTATTTTTGCAGCAGCAGTGTGAGGCCGTGTGTGTGCATGTGAGCGTGAAGGTGTGCTTGGGGAGGGGAAAAAAAGGGAAAGAATGTGTTAAAACATCGCACCGTCCGTTCTGTCCAGTGTGTGTGTGTGTGTTATGGCAGCTCGGTTTCCACCAGAGGGCCTCCTAACTCACTAGGTTGTCTCACATACAGACGCACAACTGACAGAGAAATCTTTGATTAGGACACTTTATAAAAACAAATCTTTTTCTTTAATTTTCTTCAATAAAACAGTTTTTTTTTTCAGTAAAATACTGCTTCTTTAAATGCTCTCAATTGTTGGATGTTTTTGTTTTCAGGCCCATGTGTTCTTCTCAGTCGGAGCAAGTCGTGGGGTGAATGAGGGGGGTGAGAGGTGGTGGTTGGGGGGCAGGAGTTGTGAAAGTCAGAGGAAAGGAGTCAAGTGTCTCTCRTGTCTTTTCATGGTGAATGATGGCTTTGACAGTTTGCCAAAAGAGCAATGGGAGATTAGGTCAGAGGGCCATGCTCCTGGGTGGATTGGGAGGTGGGGGGTGGGGGGGGACAACGCCGCAGGTTTGTAATGATGTCCCTTTTTTTTCGTGATGAGAATTTTCATGGAAGTGTAGATTTGCGTGTGTGTGTGTGTGTGTGTGTGTTTTTGGAGGCAGCTGAACCCCTGTGGTCAGATCGGTCAGGGCTGTACAAAAGATGCTGATGAGTTTGTGTGTTTGTGTGTGTGTGTGTGTGTGTGTGGTGGTGGGGTAGGTCCTGGAGCTTTCTCTGCTCTCATCCTCACTTGTCATCCATCCACAGCAGAACCTTAGTGGTCTGCTCTTCCTGCACAACACACACATCTGACTGTGGTCATCTGTTGCACTCTGAGTGTGAAGAACTGTTTCTGTAGGTGCCAAACCTCAATGAATCCTGAAWGAAATTGAAATAATTTAACCAGATWACAAAGAAAAAAGACTAATAAAYATGTTGTCTGTAGAACTTCACTTAGTAGAGATGTTCAGTTTCCCCCCTAATAAATTGCTTCACATGCTGCATAAATATGTATATGTGAAGAAATGAAATGTTTTTACTGCAGTTGAATACACCCCCCCTTCAAAGAAAAATGTCTACTGTATTTATTCAAGTATAATACGTAAAATTTAATCCATAAAATCACGCACAAAGTTGGGGGGTAGTACTATACTCGGTTAAATATTTTTACTTATGTATTT